GTCCCTCACTATATGACGCAGCCCTAGACGAGCTCTGCAGGGACCAGCCCCTGAAGTGCACCTGTCCCAGATAATGGGCTGCCAGAGCCCCCAGGCAAGACGTGGCCTGGCTGTACCTCAGTTTCCTCCACGGTGACATGGGGGTGATGCTACACCCTGCCCCACCAGCTAAGGTGACAAAAGGATTGTCATTCTGATGACTAATGCTGTCTGCGGTCTCGTCTCCTCGGGTATCCTAAGTGCCTGCTGGCAGGGACGGTGTCTGATGACTAAAACATGCCTGGCCTTCCCGGGGCCCCACTCTGCACACAGCAGAGGCTCCGCCAGGCCTCACTGGCAGCCTGCCTGCGCCTGCCTGCCTGTCCAGCTGCTCAAAGCAGAGGCTGCACCCCTCTGGAGTTGCATTTCAGAAGTCCAGGCCTGCCCTCCCCACTTGTGAGCTCTGAGCAGAGCAGCGTTTCAGCCAGGTGAGCTGGCCTGCAGGAGGAGAGGGCCACCAGTGAGCACCTGTGGCTTAGGAGTCTCCCTTACGGCTGCCTCTCCCCACTGGCTTTTTCCACGGTGCCCCCAGCCTGCAAGATTGACCACTCACTCCTGGTTGAAGCAGTGTATAGGAAGTAGTCTTTTCAAACTTCCCCTCAGCTCTCCCTGCCAAAAGTCCCACACATGCTGCTGTGTTTACCCTGGCCGCCGGGCCTCTCCCGCTGCCCTGAGAAAACAGATTACTGTCCAGTGTAAAGTACTTGCATGTTTCCTCTTTAGAGGTGGATCAGCTTTTAAAAGAAAGGTTTCCTGCCACCCATGACACCCTCTCGGTTTGTTTTATCTGCTTCCACCTGCAGGAGAGGGAACGGGTTGCTGACTAGGCCAGGCCGGCAAAGACCTGGAAGAAAAGCAAAGCTGGCGGGTGTGCGTTGGACAGCACACCTTCTTCTCTTCCACAGGCATTGTGCGCAGGGGCCCGGGCCCAAACCCGGACGGGACTCTGAGTAACTTGATATGTTTTCTTTCTTTGCTGCAGTGTCTGTGCCAGATTTGACTATGCCCGGATCTGTGGTCTGTGTGTGCAGCGATGCTTCGGGAGGTGGGGGAAGGACCAGGGGAAGGGGAGTGTGTCCGTGGGTTTTTTCTCCCTGTCTTCCTTTTGTTTTTCTTGCCTGGTTTGCTCACTGTTCACTGTGTATAACTTCATGTGACCGTCTTCATCTCCAGTCATTAACCCTTTGAAGACAAGCACCATCTGTGTGTTTCCCATAAGCATCTCCGCATATGCCCCCAAGGCAATGACACCCTTTCTGCAAAGCAGTGGTGGAGTTAACAGCAAGGCCTCTGGATACGGGAACTTCTCCAGAAGAGTTTGCACAGAAATTAGCAGGGAGATTCAGAGAACTGTGCCCTCACTTGCCAGCAAGCGATGAAGGCTCTCAGAGCCCAGCGTCACCATCGCACCCAAGGCCCACAGCAGGCAGCCACTTTCCAAAAGGCATGTGTGCTGTGCCTTCTGGGTGTGAGAGAAGGCCAGGAGAAGGATGTGCTCAGTGTCACAGCTAGATTCTGAGGAGAGGCTGTCCGGTGAAAACTGTGGATGCCGGAGGTGAACCAGCCCACAGGTGAAAGAAGCGTCTTTCTCACTGCCAGCTTGGGTGACAGTGACCCCTCCTGGGTAAACAGAGGCTTGATTCACTCTGCTGGACAAAGAGGCAAGCTGGCAACACCAGCTGACATCCGCCGATGGGCAGGAGCCAGAGGAAACCCACGCATGGGGCAGGACACCCTCCCAAAAGGGGGTTGGCATCATTCTTTACGACTCGGGCCCATGGGTTCAGGGGCTGGGAATGAAGAGCCTGGGGTCTCTTTCAGCAATGACAGAAATGCTGAAAAATACAGAACCACGGGTCTCCTTGCTAGGGGAAAATGTCTTGGGTCATCTTGGGCTATATTTAGACTGGAAAATGTGCTGGCTCAGAGAAAGCTGGTCATATGCCCTTCTCCAAACTGCACCCTGAGCTGAGAAACCCCCAACGCTTCCTTATCCTCATACAGCTGATGCCCACCTCCTCCATGGAGCCCTCCCAGCCAGTGGGAAGACCCCACAGGGTAGCACCCAGTGTCCCTTGTTGACAAACTTCACAAGTGTCTCCTCTTGTGAGGACCATGGGGAGCCAGTGCTGCCCATGCGCAAGGCCCGAAGCAAGCTCACAAGTGCGTGTTCAACCTGAAGTGGGAGCTCTTGCTACCTTCGCCCACTCCACCCTGCTTCTCCAGGCGTGAGTGCTGGTGACTGGGCACAGGCGCAGCAGGGACGGACACAGGGATCCCTGTCTGAAAGACAGACTCTGGGCCAGCCCACCTGCTGTGTCCTGGGGAGTCATGTGACCACAGGCCGCAGTGGGCTTCACAATGTTGATGTTTTGGCCAGTCCACACGAGCACCCTGTGAACTTCCCTTTCATAGCCGTCAAACTGTTTTTAAGAACCTGGAAGTTCATTGCATCACTGTGTTGCTTATGGATATACACATGATTTCTCAGAAAGAAAAATGGGCACCCGCCCCGTCGCCCATCCCTCCCAGGCCCTACTTCCCACTTTACTGGGGGCAGAGGTCAGAGAGAGCCCTGCTGAAGACAGATGCCTGTTCCTCCAGCCTCTGGGGACCAAGGAGCAATACAAGTGCATCATCCCCTCACTGCCAGGGTACCTGCTGTGGGCCAGGCCGAATGCACCATTTCCACCCCTCACACGGCTCCGACAGGTGGGAATTACTGGGTCCTTTACACACTGAGGACACCAGGAGTCAGAAGCCCTGTCCAGAGACCCTCCCTTCACCCTCCTCGCCTGAAAAGCATCACAGGCCCAACCCCCCCCCCACCTCCCATCCATTGCCTTCCAACGCTCTAGACTCTACTCAGAAGTCATGGGATATTTGGAAAATGCTCACTGTGCTATGTCTCCTGCGGCTTGGAACCTGAGAGTGGCTTCCTCTTGTTCCTAGAGCAGAATCCAGCCTCCTCCCTGGGTGCCGCACCCCCTCCCAGCAGGGCTGTGTCACAGCACTGCTCTGGCTCATGGTTAACGCCACAGCCCACTCCCGCACACCCATTCTCTCGGGGAGGGAACAGCCGCTGCAGGTGCCGCACTGCGAGACAGGCCCTGAGACGCCAGCCCCACCAGCGCCTGGGCGTCTGCTCCTTTGCCCCAGATGTGAGTCAGGCTCCCAAGACACAGGGCAGCTGCTTCCTTTGCACGTGGGCCCCAAGGCCACAACCCGGGGCTCTGTGACTGGGGCAAGATGGCTCCTCTTTCATGGACCTTCAGGATGTGTCGGAACAGGAAGCAGACCACGTTTGCCTGTTTTAGATCACCTTTCTCTAATACACTGATACACTTGTATTTTTTTTTATTCAACTATTGAGTCATCTCAGGAGAAAATTCTTATAATTAATGAAACTTGGGCTGGGTTTAACATTCAGAGCCAGCCCTTACACCCTTTCGTCTATTGCTTCAAAATCATCTGTTCCTAGTTACCAGGCCTGCAACGATGACCTTGAATGAATCACGCAAAAGCAGCGTCACTTTCTTCGCTCAGAAAAACTGACTCTTTTAAAGGGCTTCCCAGGTGGCCTGGGCCAGTAGCCCCTTCAAGGGGCCCTTGAGACAACAGCTGGTCCTTTGCACAAGGTGACATGTGAGGCCCCCAGAGAGCCTCCTCCAGTTTTACCAGCCTCCGCATCAGGGGTCTAACAGCTTGGAGTATGCCCTCACTTGTCTGACACTGAACATTTCCAATGAAAAAAAGGACAGAGAGAGAAGACAAATATGAAGTAACATTGAAGGGTGAGGCTGCCTGTCAACCATATTTTACCTTCCTGATTTCTTTAAAGCCTCAATGTCACACTCGCTTGTCATCAATCTAACACGTTAGCATTTTTAAATTAAAATTTAGTATCATCAAACAAGTCATAGAGCGTGAGTAATATATTCTTTCTTCTAAAAATCCCCATGTAATAAAGTTGTCATTCACAATTATTTTCCACTGGGCTGCTCATTAAAATAATTATTTTCAATGAACAAACATAGGTAGGTTTTCACAGCAGGAGGGTCCCCGCAGGGACGAGAGCCTTCCCAATCACGGCCCAGCCCCAGGGCGGGGCGATGTTGTCAGATGTCGGTGTGGGCTGAGTCTGAGGCCAGGTGACTGCTACTCCTGTGGTGTGTTTTACACACTGATGTCACTTTGTAGAGATAAAGTCTTAGATAAGTGTTTATAGATGAGCGCACATTCACAGTGTGCTGGAGGAGAGGCCAGGAGTCCTGAGAAGATGCAAGTAGAGGCTTTAGAAGGGAGACAGGGACCAGGGGGCTGAGCTGTGGCACCTCTTGCTGGGACACAAGTATCCTGAGAGTCCAACCCCAAGTCCCCACCTGGTGAGGGAGCCAAGCCAATGCAATCCCTTCCTCCCACTTCCAGCGGCACCCAGGACCCCACAGTGGGTTTTATTGTTTTGTTTTATTTTGTTTGTGTTTAATACCTGAGCCCACATGTAAAACTCCAGCGATTTCTGGCTCTCTTTACAAAACCCAAAAGGTCTGGGCCCACCTGTCTGCATCCCCACCCCCAGCATCCATGGCTAAAGCTGCTTACTAGCTGCGCCCCCCGCCCTCCCCTTGCCTTTCCACTGGGTGCTGTGTGGGTCTGCGCAGCGGCCTTGCCCCCGTGGGACTCTCAGACAGGAGGGAAAACTTCATTCCTTTAGAGCACCTCATTCCGTACTGTCGGTGTGACCTTGGGCAAGTCGCCCCAGAGCCTCAGCCTTCTCATCTCTTGAACAGGATGATTGTGGCCTCGCAGGGTCGTTAGTTGCAAGTGCTACATAAGAAAAGCTCATGAAAGCACACAGTTGCCTCCGGAAACAGGCCACAGCAGTCTGGGCCTCCAGCTGCCCACAGGTTCTCAGGGGGCACTGCTGTCCTTGGGCATCTCTGAAGACCCTGGAGCAGACAGCTGGGCCCCATGTGCAAGCAGCCTACGGTCTTCCTCCTTAGCGGCTTGTCGGGGGAGTGAAGACAGAATTACTCAGAAACAAGTGGTTCCCCAGCTGCGGCCCCTCTCTGATAACAAAGGACTTGGCCCGGACTGGAGGCCAGGCAGGAGTTGTGTGCTGCAGAAAGGCTGGCGGGACATCTTGAGTCTGTTTGTAACTAATCTCAAATAATGAGGATCTTTTTAACTCGCAGCGAATCTGAGTCCCTCAGCAACATCTGGGGTAAAACACGAGGAGCAAATGTGGACGCTGAGTGCAGAGGGTGGTTTTTTTCCCACCAAATCCATAGTTACCCTCCAAGTTGTAATCTTATCATATTAAACTGGTTCCACATAAACAGTTCTATGTATATTTTCAGTAGTTTCAGCTGAAACCTGTTAAGAACAGATGTGCACATGGTTGCCCAGCACTGATTCGTTTAAATTTATTTTTTCATGAACAGCCTTTTCTCTCTGCCCTTCTTCAGAGGGCAAGAAGGAAAAAGTGGACCTGTCATTCAAGTGGCTATTACTTGCTTCTCCACAGCCAGTGTTTGTCATTGGTTTTCAAACAGCTATTTGGCTCTCGAGGCCACGAACACAGGGTGTGCATTTGATGGGCAGTGTTTGCTGAGGCCGGGTGGCTGGGAGGGCGGGCCGGGGCCCAGTCTGGCTGCTGCCTTCCCCCGCCCTGGCCGAAGGCTCCAGCAAGAAAGTTATCCAGCTCTTGGACCCATTCATTTTTTCTAGCTGGAAAAAAAATATAGGAGGAGGATATAAAAGAACTCCTATAACTCAACCACAATAAAAAAAAAAACAAGCAATCTGACTTAAAACATGGGCAAAGGCTGGGTGGCTCAGTCGGTTAGAGTGTTGTCCCGCACACCAGCAGGTCGTGGGCTTGATTCGTGGGCTTGATTCCCAGTCAGGACACATACCTGGGCTGCAGGTTTGATCTCCGGGTGGGGAGCGCACAGTAGGCAACTAGTCACTGTTCTTCTCTTTCTCTCTCTCTTCCTTTTTCTCCAAAATCAGTAAACATACCCTTGGGTGAGGATTAAAAAATAAGTTTATAAAAATATAAAAAATTAAAATGGGCAAACAACTTAAATAGACACTTCTCCAAATACGACACATATACAAACGGCCATCGGGCGCGTGAAGACGGTCCACATCACTAAGAATTAGGAAGATGCAAATCAAAACTGCAGTGAAAGATCTCCTCTCACCGACTGGGATGGCAACTCTAAAAAGAAAAACAGAGAACAAGAGTCGCAAGGATGGGCAGAAACTGGAACCTTCACGCACTGGCGGTGGGAATGTAAAACGGTGCAGCTGCTGTGGACAACAGCGCGGTAGTTCCTCAAAAAGTTAAAAATAGAGCTGCCATATGATCCAGCAATTCCTCTTCTGGGTGTATGGCCAATAGGATTAAAAGCCAGATCTCAAAGAGGTATTTGCATACCCATGTGTGTGGCAGTGTTATTCATAATAGCCGAAAGGTGGAAGCAGCCCAAGTGTCTACATACAACTCATTGGATAAGCAAAATGTGGTGCATGCATGTGATGGGATATTATTTAGCTTTAAAAAGAAGGCAGTTCTGACACATGCTGCAACATGGATGAGTCTTCGGGACAGAAACCAGGCACAGAAGGTCAACTGTGTAGTTCCACTTATACAAGGTCCTTAGAGTAGTCAGATTCATAAAAACACAAGGAAGAATGGTGAGTGTGAGGGCTGGGGCAGGTGAGAATGGGCCATTAAAGCTGAGGGCGGACAGAGTTCCCGGTTTGCAAGATGGAAAGCGTTCAGGGGGGGTCTGTCGCACTCAACTCTCCTGGACTGTGCGCTCAAAATGAGGAAGGTGGCAGAAATGAACACGGGAGAAGGTCTGCCTGTGAACAGATCTCACAGACAGGTGCACGGGCTCGGGGGAGAGGCAACAACTAGGAGGGCGTGAGATGAGACAGGCTGCTTCCCAGGTTTGAATTTTTGCTCTCAAGAATGCTCCTCTCTCCACTGTCCCATTTCCTATCTGACAGAATTCATCCCATCAGGCCACCCAGGTCTCTGTCACAGCCTGTAGCCATCTCGGGCCTGTCTTAGTCTGTGCCTCTGGAGTGCAGAACTGTCCCACTGGCCTGCAGTTCCCCTGTGGCTGGCCCTAGGTGCCACCTCCATGGCCTCTGGACCACCTTCCTCCAGCCTGCAGGTTGCCATCCTTCTGACTGCACCCTGGCATTGGGACCGGGGCTATGAAGGCACGTGAGTCCCGGGGATTCGGTGCCAGCTGGGAGAACCTACGCCACCTGATCATGAGGCCTAGGGCCTCTCAGTGTGCCTCTTTGCCCCAGGGTCACCGGCAGAAGAAGGGCGAAGGCAGAGCTGAGCAGATCTTTTGGGAGTTCTGTCATCCTGAAGTATGTCCGGCCTGGTCACCTCTGCAGGACCCAGTGTCTGGGAAGCTCTCCATGCCTGTGTGGCTTAGCACCTGACAGGACATTCGGGCTGAAAGGTACCTCGTGCACCCTGTACTTTCACAAAAGCTGGGCCCCTGGAGATGCACTCGCAGCTGTGAGCCCTGAGAGGCACCCAGGCCTGAGGCGGAGCCAGCAGACTGGTCTGCAAGAGGAGTACCCAACAGGAGAGGACCTCTGACACAGTACACACGTCTTTCTTATTTAATTTTTATTGATTGAGTTTTAGAGAGAGAAGGGGAGGGAGGGAAAGAAACACTGACAGCCATCCATGCATGTGCCCTGACCGGGCCGAGCCTCGGCTCTGGCACATGGGAGGAAGCTCCAAGCCAACCCAGCCAGTGAACCAGGGCCACCACATCTGTCTTAAAAAGGAGGAAAGAACACAATCAAAAGATTCATTAACATTTCAAAGAAGTTAAAAAGCACATTTGGTTCCCAATCACTCCCCTCCTGGTTGGCTGGGGGAGAACCCACTCTCCTAACCCGTGGAGAAGAGGCCCAAGGCTTCTTCTGCCAGCCAAGAATTGCAGGGAGACACCCTGCTCCTGGGGGGGGGGGCTTTCTAGATCCCCAGGCCCATACGGACCACGCTAGTGATTTACCCTTGTTTTGAAAACCGTCCTCCTCTTCACCGTTTTCCTGTGCCCTCCCGTTTCTTTTACCTGACTGTTACCTTGCCTGTATTTTAGTTGTAATTTTTTTCATAAGTAAACACTCAAGGACTTGACTTCTATGAACTGATTCTAGACTTTCCGGAAGCCGAAACAAGTAGGCCCCAAACCTGCCTCCTTTATTCTTCCACTCACCTGTGGCAACGCCACTGAGCCCGGGCCAGACCCCTCCCAAAGAGAGGGCTGTTGCTGGAATCATGCCATAATCCAGGGCATCTGAGAGCCCTCTGCCAGCGACCAGGCGCCTCTGCCCAGGAGGTGTGAACCCAGCACTGCTCTTCCAAATAAAGAGACAGGCTCTGGTGGGTCAGAACCTCCCACTCTGTCTCCGGCTTCTTCAGACGGCTTCTAGATTCCCTTCATTTATTCAAGTTGCTACCCCCAATTCGCCAGTTTTTCAGACTCTGCATTCACATCCACCCACCACTCTGGTTTCCAGATATTATTTTTATCAATGCAGTGGGGTTCCCTAAAGTGATGGACAGCTCCATGACCTTTCTTTTCAGCCATAAACTAAAGGAGACTTAAAAGATGTGTGTGTGTGTGTGTGTGTGTGTGTGTGTTGCCTGTTGTATGTGTGAGCGTCCCTGAGTGCCCGCCGCCTAGCACACGTACTCCTAATGAAAAACAGGATAAATTACAGAGAATGGCAACGTAATGATTACAAAAAGCTATATGAGGCATAACCCATTAGTGAGCTACATTTTGTTCAAAACCAAGATGCTCGGGCAGAATAACATGCCTTTGTGCGGAGTGCATTCAGCTGTAGCGCGGACTAATAATACAGCCGAGGGTCTGTTCACATTTTTCCCCTTCTGTGCCTATTTTCATAAGTTAATAACTCAAGCATGAAATTGTTTCAGGCTGAAAGTGGTGCGAAGAGCACAGCACACTGTGTGGGGAACAACTTTTTGTTGTTGTTACTTAATTTAGTTTGGCTGTTTTTAAGTTAGAGGAGTGGAAATGTCCATGTGAGCTTTCTCTAGCAATGTAGTTTTGTTAAACCCAAGAAAGTCTGGGATTTTATTACACAAAGCAAATTTCTAATGATTAAGATAGAGGGTTCTCTTTAGACAGGTGTAGGTTTCTGTTTGGTACAGGTGGGGACTGTTGGGGGGAGGGTGGGTGAAACTGAATCAGAACAGTATAAACGACATCAGCCTGGACTCACCTGTCTTCAACTAGAAAACTCCTATCCTGCCAGCAAGTCAACAGCCTGGCTCGGGGAGCAGCTGCCCTGGACGGGTGGGGGCAGGGGCAGGGGTGGGGGTGGGGGTGGGGTGGAGTAGTGGAAGGACAGAACCAGGGTGAGTAACAGTGATACCTCTGCTTTGTGCCGCACTCAGGGTCACTGAGCATTTTCCTGTACACAGAACCAGAGAAAGTCCAACTGGAAGAGACCAGATTTCATATGAGTCTTCGAATTTTTTTCTTTCTTCTTCTTTTCTTTTATTGGGGCAGTGGGCTTTGAAAGATACAGAAGAATACAGAAAATAATATAACAAAATCTTTAGCACCTATGTTCCAGAATAATTAATTATTAATCACTAATCATTGTTAATTAGCAACCGTTAATATTTTGTAATAATGATTCCAACTTTTTTAAAGTAAAATCATTGAAACATCACTAATAAAGTGTACTTTTCTTTACTTCATAGATGGGCAAAGTGAGGAGGAGCAGGAGAGAGAGCACTTGGCGGAGGTCTGCCTTCCCCGGCACCCTTTCCTTCCTTTGCAAACGGACCCTTGTAAGGGAACAGGCAGGTAAGACGGCTTTGCTGCCCCACTTCACAGATGGAGAGCTCAGGCCACCGGTGGATGTGTATGAGGGCTTCCCCGTTTGGGGCGCTGTGTTGGGCTCCGGGGACTGAAGAGAGAACAAAGCCCAAAGCAGCCAGGATCCCAGCTGGGGGGAAGGGTGCGGACACAGCCTGTGTCCAGAGTGCGCTCCCCCAGGTGTGTGATACAGAAGCAAGCCAGCAAATACTTAGGGAGACGTTCTTAGAAATCTATGTATTTCATTGGGTGTATTTTAATAAGTCAATCATGGATCACTGCCTAAGGAAAACAAAATACCCTGCCACTCAGTGAAACAATGTGATGATTTTTAGTTGTATCAGTGGATTGCTCCATGTATAAATCTTCGGTAAATCCTCCCCCCACCCCCCTCAACGGCATCTGAACCTGTCAATAGTTTTTAAACAGTGAAATTGGACAAAGGCTGAGAGCAGGCATTGGGCACTTCTCTGAGCTTCTCCAGGCACAGCCTGGGGGCTGCATCGGGGCACGGACCCTGGGGTGGGGGTTGCGTAATGCACTGAGCCTCCCGCGCGCCAAGACCAGAGGAGTGATCGGGTCCACCGCCGGAACCTCCGCGGACAGACTCGCAAATCCCTGGTTCTGCAGACTCGGGCCGCCCCGGGGGCCTTCCAGACTGAGCGCTCCGTTTATGCACCAACTGTGGGTTGAAGATAACAATACTAGTAATAATCGCCCCGTCTTTCCCCCGATTGATTCACTTTAGCTCTAGAGACTTTTCGCCGGTCATTTCAGAGGGACTGAAACGCCTCAGAATTACTTTAGGGGAAGTAAAAGGCAGCGGAGAAGAGCTGGCAGCCCGAGTTCGTCAAAGTTCCGGGCGCGGTCGCCCACGGTTACCGCGAGGCGCGCACACCTGCGAGCCTGGCTCGGCCCGCACCGCGCACCCCACCTGCGTGCTCGAGCGCCCACCTGGGTGCTGGGGTTTCACAGTAAGGCGCGTGCGAACTGCAAACCGCTCCCCTGGGCTGGACACGGAAGATACTTTGGGGAAAAGCACCTCCTCCTGGAGGGAGTCCTCTCCCCCAGGGCCCAGCGGGGAGAACCTCCAAAGACCGAAAAACCGCAGGGTTCCCTGCGCAAGGGCCTGACTGAGTTTCATCAGCTTAGCGCAGGTCCTTCCTGGCAGGGCTCGCCTCTGACTTGGACAGAAACAAGCAGAAATGTGCTGCGGAGCAGACACCCCCGAGGCTGTATTTAATCCTCAAAAAACTGTCCAGAAGAACCCTGGCCCGTTGGCTCAGTCGCTTGGACCGTCCTCCCACACAGCGAAACGTTGAGGGTTGGAGGGAGCCCATTGATTTGATGTTTCTCTTTCAGCTCGTCCACAGGGATGTTCTCTCTCTCTCCCCCCTCCCCCTCCCTCCCTCCTCCCCAACACCCTTTCTTTCTCTCTAAAGTCAATAAACATATCCTCAGGTGAGCATTCACAAAAAATACTCGCTAGTAGAACAAAACTGTCCAGAAGTGTCGAGTGCCTTTTTTCTCTTTCATTTAGTTGGGCACAAACAATGTCGCTTTTCAAAACACTTCAAAACCAGCAAACAAGCAAACCTAAAAGCGCTGGGCAGTGCTGAACACACCACACTAACTTGGTAGTCTGATGCCTCACAGAAAACGCCAGAAAGATGGTTTCTAAGCAGCTAGACCAACTCCAAGTGCTTGAAATGAAAAGCTCACGACTGCTGGAAGGACCCGTGTGATGCTGGAAAGCTGGCTGGACAATGACCCTGCAGCAAGGAAACTGGGCTGGGAAGAAATTAAGACAGCGGTTCCTTGAACGGGGTTTGAAAAGACTGAGTCAAGGCAGCCCTGCTCTTTCTAAAAACCCATTAGCAGTGTGTGTGAGGGTTCCGGTTGCTCCATGTCCTCAGGCGTGCCTGCTTCGGTCAGTCTGTCAGTCGGTCAGTCATTCTATCCGTTATCGCCATCATGCTAATTGCTGCATAATGATGTCTCCTTGTGATTTAATTTGCATCCCTCTGATGACTCTGCATCATTAGTCACTAAGGAGCATCTTGTATACACTTGTTTGTCATTTCTGTCTTCGGTGATATGTGTATTTAAATATTTTGCCAATTTAAAATTATTTTTAATTTTGCTTTTCAACTACAATTGATATGCAATGTTATATTACTTTCAGGTGTACAGCAGTGATTAGACTTTTATACACCTTGCAGGGTGATCCCCCAGTGAATCTAGTAAATCTTATACCACACACAGTCTTCACAATATTAATTTGTACTCCCGAATTCCTTTCTTTTGCCCATTTTTTAATTGGGTTGTTTGATTTCTTACTGAATTTTGGGAGTTCTTCACATATTATGGATACAAGCCCATTATTAAATATATGATTTGCAGATGTTTTCTCCCAGTTTATAGCTTATCTTTTCATTTTGTAACAATGACTTTGGTTTTATTTTGAAGAAATCCAGTATATCAATTATTGTTTCTTTCAACATAATTTTATTTTAAAATAATTTAATGTGAAATTGACCATGCAAAAATGTACAGACTATGTATGTGTCATGTTTTAATAAAATTTATGACATTTAACATTAAGCTTAAGAAATAAAACATTAATCATTTTTACATATATTCTATTGATTATGCTGTGACAGTTGTCCCATTTTTTCTCCCCTTTTTCCCCTCTGCCCTGCATCCCCCTCCCATCAGCATTCCCTGCTCTTGGTTCATGTCCATGGGTCATGTATATAAGCTCTTTGGCTTCTCCATTTTCTAAACTATTCTTAACCTCCCTCCATCTATTTTCTACCTACCATTTATGCTTCTTATTCCCTGTACTTTTTTCCCCATCCTCTCCCCTTCCCCTCCCAGCTGATAACCTTCCATATGATCTACATTGCTGTGATTCTGTTCCTGTTCTAGTTGTTTGCTTAGTTTGTTTTTGTTTTTGTAATTTTTAGGTTCAGTTGTTGATAGTTGTGGGTTTGTTGTCATTTTACTGTTCATCTTTTTTTCTTAGATAAGTCCCTTTAACATTTAATATAATAAGAGCTTGGTGATACAGAACTCCTTTAACTTGAACTTCTCTGGGAAGCACTTTATCTGCCCTTTCATTCTAAATGAAAGCTTTGCTGGATAGAGCAATCTTGGATGGAGGTCCTTGCCTTTCATGAGTCAGAATACTTCTTTCCAGTCCCTCCTTGCCTATACGATTTCTTTTGAGAAATCAGCTGATAGTCTTATGAGAACTCCTTTGTAGGAAACTGTCTCCTTTTCTCTTGCTGCTTTTCAGATTCTCTCCCTATCTTTAATCTTGGGTAAGTTAATGATGATGTGCCTTGGTGTGTTCCTTCTTGGGTCCAACTTCTTTGGGACTCTCTGGGCTTCCTGGGCTTCCTGGAAGTCTATTTCCTTTGCCATATTGGGGAAGTTCTCCTTCATTATGTTTTCAAATAAGTTTTCAATTTCTTGCTCTTCCTCTTCTTCTGGCACCCCTATGATTCAGATGTTGAAATATTTCAAGTTGTTCTGGAGGTTCCTAAGCTTCTCCTCATTTTTTTGAATTCTTGTTTCTGCATTCTGCTCTCGTTGAATGTTTATTTCTTCCTTCTGCTCCAAACCATTGATTTGAGTTCTGGTTTCCTTTCCATCACTGTTGGCTCCATCCCTATACCTTTTCCTTCATTTCACTTTTTATAGCCTTCACTTTTTCCTCTATTTTGTGACCATACTCAACTATTTCTGTGAGCATCCTGATTATTTATCTGATAGGTTGTCTATCTCTTTATCAATTAGTTCTATTTTTGAAGTTTTGATCTGTTATTTTATTTAGGCCATATTTTTTGGTCTAGGTACACCTGTTATGTAGTAAGAGGTAGAGCCTTACGTGTTCGCCAGGGCAGGGCAACCCAGGTCACTGCACTGTGGCATTACACGTTGGGGAGGGGTCTGAGAGGAACCAATGCCACTTGCTCAGCTCTTGCCAGGCTTTCAGTCATTTCCCCTGCTACCCACAAGCAAACTGGGCCCTTCTGGTGCTAATACCCAGGTGTGTGGGTTTGTGTATGTCTAGAACCCTGTGGATCTCTCTGACAAACTCTCTTGTGAGGCTGGGAGTCTCTCCTACTGCTGCAACTCCTTCAGGATTTTACAGCCAAAGGTTTTGAGGCTTTAGTTCCCCACACTGGAACCCTGGGTTATGCGGTCTGCCTCACTCTTCAGTCATTCCTTCTGGTTTATCCACTTTCAAATGCAGGACCACCAGCTGCCGCCTCACTCACCTAGTCCTCCAGCCACCACCTTGCCTTGCATTCTCTGCACCCCAGCTTCCTGTCTCCACCACTCCTACCAGCCCGAATGAATGTTTCATTTTTAATTCCTTTGTTGTTGGACTTCCATACAGGTTAGTTTTCTGGAAGTTCAGATTATTTTTTTATTTTAAAGTGTGTTGTTGTCCTTCTTTTGGTTGGTCAAGGAGGCAAAGTGTATCTACCTATGCCTCCATCCTGGCCAGAAGTACTCAATTATTTTATGGATTACGCTTTTGGTGTTGTATCTAAGAAATCTCTGCCTAGCCCAAGGTCATAAAGATTTTCTTCTATTTTCTTCTAGAAGCTATAGATCTATTAATCGATGGTGACTGTTTTGAATTAATTTTCATCTATGGTATGAGGTGTGGATTAAAGCTCACTTTTTTGCCTGTGAATATCCCAGTGTTCCCTCAACCTCTGTTGAAAAGACTACCATTTCTCCACTGCCTTACTTGACAACTTTGTCAGAAATCAGTGGTCCATACATGAGTGGGTCTGTTTTTGGACTCTTTATTCTGAAGTTCCATTGACATTTATGTTTATCTTTACTCCCATGTCCTGATGACCATAATTTTATAATAAATGTTGAAATCAAGCAGTTAGTTCTCCAACTTTGGTTTTTGCAGAATTGTTGTGATTATTTTAAATCCTTTGCAACTCCATAGAGATTTTAGGATCAGTTTGTCAATTTCTACCAAAAACTCTGCTGAGTTGGACTTTACAGATCAATTTCCTCAGAATTTACACCTAGACAATTGAGCCTTCTGGCCCATGAGCACATTATGTATCTATTCAGGTTCTCTTTAATTTCTCTCAGCAATGTTTTCAATGTCTTGATATTGTCCATCTTCTGTCAGTTTCCCTGTATTTTGTACTTTTTGATACTGTTATAAATGGTATTTTAAAAATTTCAATTTCCAATTGTTCATTGCAAGGATACAGAAATATAGTTGATTTTTTGTATGTTAATCTCCTATCCCGAATCTTTACTAAAGTCGCTTTTTCAGCTCTGGTAGCTTTTGTTTCTATAGAATTTTCTACATAGACTCTTGTGTTATCTGCAAATAAGGACAACTTTACTTCTCCATTTCCAAGCTGGAGCTCACCTCTTTCTGTTTCTTACTATATTGCAACAGGACCTTGAGGGTTTCCGGTCCTAGGAGGAGAGTACTCAGACTTCTGCCATTAAGAATGATGTTAGCTGTAGGTTTTAGTGGGTGCCCCCTTCCACATGGAGGAACTTCCCATCAATTCTTAGTTTGCTGAGAATTCTTATCAGAAATATTTGTTACATAGTACCAGATGATTTTTCTGCATCTGCTGAGACCACAGTTTTCTTACGTCATCATTTTACAAGTTTGAGTGAAGTGTAGAATGCTTGCTCACCTCTTTTTATATCCCTTTGACCTCTTTATACTATGGTTGTCTTCAATATTTCTTCTACCTACATTTAGGATCACTTTAGACAATGTTACAGTTTTTGCCTCAACCATCATCATAATTTAGAAAACTCATGAGGGATAGGAAAGTCTGTGATGTTTAGCAGTATTTTTGCTTATTGTGTTCTTTCTTTGTTACTGATCTTCCCATAGGTTTTCTTTTATTGTTTTCTTTCTATTCGGAAAGCTTTCTTTAACCATTCTTATATAGTAGATCAGCTGGTGACAAATATCCTAAGTTTTTCCTTCTCTGAGAATACCTTGATTTTTCTTTCAGCATTTAAAACTATCCTGGCTTCCATGGTTTCTAATGACAACTCGGTGTCATTCAAACTGCCCCTGCCATAGGTGAAGTGTATTTTTTCTCCTTGTCTTTCAGAAGTTTGAGTGTGCAATGTCTCAATATGCATTTTGGGGGGGGTTTATTCTGTTCGAGGTTTGTTCAGCTTCTTAAATCTGTGAACTTATGTTTTTTGCCAAGTTTGGGGAGTTTTAAGTCATTATTTAATTCAGCAGTTTTCTAATTCTTCCCTCTTTTCCAGAACTCCAATGTCACAAAAGTTTGATCTTCTAATATCTATCGCCCCTAGGTCCCTGAGCTCTGTTTGTTTCTCTCAGCCCGTATTCTTCTCTGTGTCGTGCAGATCGGTGTTTGCCTTTGTCCTGTCTTCTGGCTTGCTGTGTGTCCTGTCTGTTCTGCTGTGTGTCCTGTCTGTTCTGCTGTGTGTCCTGCCTATTCTGTGTGTCCTGTCTATTCTGCTGTGTGTCCTGTCTGTTCTGTGTGTCCTGTCTGTTCTGCTGTGTGTCCTGTCTGTTCTGCTGTGTGTCCTGCCTATTCTGTGTGTCCTGTCTATTCTGCTGTGTTTCCTGTCTGTTCTGTGTGTCCTGTCTGTTCTGCTGTGTGTCCTGTCTATTCTGCTGTGTGTCTGTCTGTTCTGCGATGTGTCCTGTCTATTCTGCTGTGTGTCCTGTCTGTTCTGCTGTGTGTCCTGCCTATTCTGTGTGTCCTGCCTGTTCTGTGTGTCCTGTCTATTCTGCTGTGTGTCTGTCTATTCTGCTGTGTGTCTTGCCTGTTCTGCTGTGTGTCTGTCTATTCTGCTGTGTCCTGTCTATTCTGTGTGTCTGTCTGTTCTGCTGTGTGTCCTATCTGTTCTGTGTGTCCTGTCTGTTCTGCTGTGTGTCCTGTCTATTCTGTGTGTCCTGTCTATTCTGCTGTGTGTCCTGTCTATTCTGTGTGTCCTGTCTGTTCTGTGTGTCCTGTCTATTCGGCTGTGTGTCCTGTCTGTTCTGCTGTGTGTCTGTCTGTTCTGCTGTGTCCTGTCTATTCTGTGTGTCCTGTCTGTTCTGTGTGTCCTGTCTGTTCTGTGTGTCCTGTCTATTATGTGTCCTGTCTATTCTGCTGTGTGTCCTGTCTATTCTGTGTGTCCTGTCTGTTCTGTGTGTCCTGTCTATTATGTGTCCTGTCTATTCTGCTGTGTGTCCTGTCTATTCTGTGTGTCCTGTCTATTCTGTGTGTCCTGTCTGTTCTGCTGTATGTCCTGTCTATTCTGTGTGTCCTGTCTATTCTGTGTGTCCTGTCTATTCTGCTGTGTGTCCTGTCTATTCTGTGTGTCCTGTCTATTCTGCTGTGTCCTGTCTATTCTGTGTGTCCTG